GGGCATAGAGTTCACGCTCGTACGTGGATTTTGCTAGCTTTTGAGAGGGCATCTTTTTACTCATGCACTCGATCGGTCTCAACTTTTCCCCTCCTTCTGCGCAAGGACCGCGCCTATGCCATATTGGCTGGCGTCTGTGGTCACGACAAAGGGCTGCTCAGGATCTGGGAGTTTGAGAACTTCATAGTGTGTTAGAGCATACTTCAAGTTTTTGAAGGCTGCCTCACACTCTTCTGTCCATTCCCAAGGGGTGTCAAGTCGAGTTAGATCTGTTAGTGGGGAAGCTATAGTACTATAGTTCTTCACAAATGGACGATAATAGCCCGTCATCCCCAAAAACGATCTGACCTCAGTAACAGTCTGAGGTTTGGGCCAGTCACGTTGTCGAGCGCATCAGCTCCCGCCTTTTTCGCAAAGGTCGGGAGCCCTCCTGGCCATGTCATGCAGGAGTCAAACATAGCACAACAAGAGACAACTTAGGAACGACGCAACACATCCCGTGAGCCGTCGAGACGGCCGTGGTTGCGTCATCCCTTTGCCGCTCTAGCCGGGTGCGCCAACTGTACATCCCGCGGTCCCCTACGACAGGATAGGTTCCCGCGGGGCATGAGCTTTCCTTTCCTAAGGGGTTGTCACCGCCCTTAGGGGTGTATCCTTACCGAGCTACTGACCCACATGCGAAAGTTTTTAGATGCAATTGCAGAGGTAGGTCAACTGAGGGCGTTTGCTTGTTCGCTGTAGTATAGATACGCTTGGTTAACGCCAAGCGAACCCAAACGTCGCCCGTCCCTTAGGGCGCTGATCTCTTAAGTACGAAGCAGACGTCGGTCGACTAGGACGGTCTCAACCAAGCGTGAAGCCCAACTCGATCCTAGTCCCTTAAACACACAGTCAAACAAAATTTATAGTAACCATACATAATTACAACAAAAATAGTTGACCACAACCGATAAGAATGTACATCCAATCCAAAGTAATAAGTGGGACCATCCAATCATCACTTGATACATTCAACACCACAAGGTCAAAACAATTCGACCGCCTCAGGTTGAATATCACAAAACAATCATACAACCATCAAACAAGAAGTTGGCTATTGATAATAATATAGACACTGCCGACAAGGTAGTCAGCTGCCTTAGTTTTAACTTGATGAGACACATTGCCAAAGTTTTTCATTCCGGCCTACTGCCGACCTGAGATTCAGCGCACATACCAATCTTTTTGGATGACAAGGTGCTTTGCGCATGATTCTTGATCAGGGGCATTGCTTGAAGTGTTGCACGCCTCTCCCTCTAGGAAGTGGTCATGGGTACTCCTCCTCGTCCGAGCACAAGACTCGGATATCAGAAGTCGGGCCGTCTCCACCGAATCGGCGAACTACCCCCCCGTAGAACGGTCCACTCTGGGTCGATAAAAGGGTCGGCTCCTAAAGCAACGAGCCCTCGCCCCAAATGCTTCCTAGAGATTGCGGATGGGTCCACTGCAAGTAGATTTCATTAGCTTTTTTCCCTCCTAAGTTCAGGGTAACTTAGACGAAAAGAATCAAAGGAGACAGAAAATGAGAATCATTTGGACAGGTACAGGTGGATAAGGTCATTCGGGATAGAACGGGTCAATCCTAGGGGAAAAACTAAGTCCATTCGACCTCATCTGCTTTATTTCAATCGTATTCATTTCACGACATGCATTGAATTAACCTTTTTCGGAACAACAAGTCCTTATTGACATCCAGGTAGGCGAGAAGTAAAGGGAAGACAATCATTTCCCTTCTCTCAAATAGGCATAATCAATCTCCTTTGCAAGCATCCTTCTACCTACCTACACAACAAGCATAAAAAACAAGTTCAAATGAAAACAGTACAATCCCAGACTCACGTCAAACCTTCCCACTCACATGCATGACTAACACAACTTTCTCTACCTTTTCTTTCGAATGTTCAAAACAACAGGGTCAAGCAAAGTGTGGGTTCACACAGGTGTGACGGGAAATCTGAGTCATTCAACTAACCTTGAGTGAAGTTTGATCCGGCCCACTCAAGAAAGTCGGGTAATATTTCAATCAGAAGAAAATAATTGKTGTAGAAAATATGTGACTCACAAATCCACAGGTTGTGGCCTTTCTCCTGAGCCACTGTCCACGTCTTTCACCAAGTATGCGATCACACCACGGTTGGGTCCACTAAAATGTCTGAATAAGATAACCCTCAAAGAGGGTGCTCCCATGATTCAAACCCCACACCATCCCAACGTCACCTACCGTCCTAGCACAGTCTTAATTGCACCTTGACCACGAAGGATATTTCTCACCCAACCGTGAGTTCACACCGCCTCAAATCACTCTGTCCGCTCACAATAGTCGCACCAACAAGTTCATCCCAATCTCAAATCAGTCCCACCTGGTCCCAAAAATGGTCCTTAAGTGGTCCCACGTTACCGCCACAATACTAGGTGGCTCAAAACTCCAAGTCGCTTGCTCTGCGTGCCGCAAAAAAAAAAAAAGGTGGCCCCCGGTGAAAAAACGCAGGCGCCGCGAGCCCTTAAAAAAAATAAAGATGTCCTTCTGGCGCAAACCGCGAGCACTGCAACTCCAATAGCTAGTGTCGCGTGCACTCAATCCACACTCTCTTCATGCCACCGGTTCACGCACCACTGCCGCATGGTCCCGACCACTCACCAGCATCAGTCCAACCTCCAGGCCATACTGGGGTCCACCATAGGCGCCGCACACCACAAAAATAATAAACAAAAACGGTTCCACCTCGCTGCACAATTCTGGCAGCACTGCCACCGTTGTCGCGCCTGCAAATGGACAATACTTCCCCCTAACAACGTCGCTGCCGCCGTGCCAAAACCGACAGCACTTCCGCACCACTGCCGTTAAAACCAATGCCGCCGCCGCAAAAATCCGGCAGCGCTTCCGCACCACTGCCAAAAATCAACTTGCCGCCGAAAAAATTCGGCAGCGCTTCCGCAACACTGCCTAAAATACATTGCTGCCGCCGTGCAAAACGGGCAGATCCTCCCCTGCACCGCTTGCCAAAACTGCTACCGCCGTGCAAAACGGGCAGAGTTTCCCCTGCACCGCTTGCCGAAACTTGCCGCAAAAGCAACACCTTCTCACCACCTCTCCAGCTATGGCTGTCATCGCCGTGATGGCCGCACAACACCCCCCCCCAGCACTTAACAAAGTGAAGTGGTGGCTATGGCTGCCTCCACTTCCGCGCCCACTGCAGACCTCCACTCCACTCCACCTCTCAGCACCTCGGCAACATAATGCTGCTCACTACTCCACATTCAGTCAGAATGTGGGCAGCACCTCAACTGAGTGAGAATGCTGCTTGTCAGCCCTGCTTTTATAGCTGGGCTGGAGTGGTGGGCAGCCACTTGAGACTCAACCAAAAAACGGGGCTGAGCCTGACCCTCGCTCTGAACTTCGATCGAGGGCTGGGAACCTAGATGTTCCCCTTGGGGAACGAGGTTCCAAGTGCTAGGCATGCACCTGGCTGCCTCCTCAAGCCAAACGCGGTAGCAAATGGCTGAATTCATCCATTTGCAGCAGCCTGTTCAAAAACGCACAGGTGCAGTCCCATCAGCCCCTAGCAACTTCTAGGGGCTGCACCTGTTCCACGGTCGCGACCAAATTCGCGATCGTTTCCCCTTTTTCTTCTCCCCCTTCCTTCCTTTTCTCTTCTTACTTCTTCTTCCTTTTTACCTTCCTATCTAGTCTGAATTCGTGGCCACGTACGTGGGCCGCTACCTCTCTTTTTCTTATTTTTTCAGTGCAGGGGCAGCTCGATTTTAAAAAACGAGCTGCCTCCCTTGTCATTTCGCAGAGTCCAGCTAAAGTCAGGCTCAAAGGGGTTGTTTCCCCCCTCTGCGTGCGCTCGTATCTGGGCCGAAACAGGCGCCTGATACAGGCGCACGGCTCCAAGGTCCATCTCTCTCTCTCTCCAGTGGTCGCGACCGTTCGTCGCGAACTGGAACCCACCTAAAGTGTGTGTGGAGAGCCCCTTGCAACTCGAGCACAAGGTCCCAAGCCCACGCCTGAACGATCCCGTGGCAGATCCATTCTCCTTTGCTCAGGTTGTCGAGGCTCAGCCTCCTGATGAGTCAGTGTGAGTCCGACGAAACAGTCTAGCTCATCATGCTCTCCCGTTCATTCGGAAACAAACGGGTACACCAAACAAGAAAAAAACAAGAAAATAAAAAATAAAATCGAGAACAAAATCTAAGAAAAAGAGAAAAAAAAAGGAAAAAGACCCTACCTAACAAGGCTCCCCGTTTGCTGCAGGGGGTCATCTCCAGGTAGGAACCCCCCCCCCCCCCCCCCCCCCCCCCCCCCCCCCCCCCCCCCC